AATGAGATGAAATCTGAAGAATAAATGAAGTGGATTCCAACCCGCCACTTTAGGTGTATGTGGCTGGCGCCTTAGCCACTTGAGCCACAGGCGCCGAGCCACAACTGTCTTGTTCATGTCTGTCTTATTCACTGCAGCATAGCTAGTGCCTCACATGGTGCCTGGCCCAGAGTGTGTGCTCAAAAGATGCACTGAATGAGATGAAATCTGAAGAATAAATGAAGTGGAATTGGGGAGCTATGGAGAGAGTTTTACGAAGAGGCAACAGCATATGCAAAATCTCAGAAGCTAGAGAGGCTAAGGAACAGACTTTCAACACAGAGTCTCTAAAGACTGGTCGTAGGCCAGATCCTGAAGGGCCCAGCATAACCTTCCCTGTTAAGGAAGGTAGGTTTCCTTTGTAGCCAGTGGGGACTCATTGAAGATTTCTAAACATGGGAGTGATATGATTATTTTGTTGTTTTTTGAGACAAAGTCTCACTTTGTCACCCTTGGTGGAGTGCCATGGCGTCATAGCTGATGGCAACCTCAAACTCTTGGGCTCCAGTGATTCTCTTGCCTTAGCCTCCCAAGTAGCTGGGACTATAGGCGCCTGCCACACACCCGGCTGTTTTTAGAGACCAGGGTCTCGCTCTTGCTCAGGCTGGTCTCAAGCCTTGGCCTCCCAGAGTGCTAGGATTATAGGCATGAGCTACTGTGCCTGGCAGGGAATGATACGATTTGATTTACCTTTTTTTTTTTTTTTTTTTGAGACAAAGTCTCAAGCTGTCACTCTGGTAGAGTGCCCTGGCATCATAGCTCACAGCAACCTCCAACTCAGGCTCAAGCGATCTTCTTGCCTCCGTTTTTCTATTTTCAGTAGAGATGGGGTCTCACTTTTTTGCTCAGGCTAGTTGAACTCGGTGAGCTCAAGCAATCCACCCACGTCACCCTCCCAGACTGTTAGGATTACAGGTGTGAGCCACCACACCTGGTTGATTTACCTTTTCAAAAGATACAAACTGCCTATAGTGCAAAGAATAGATTCCAAAGAACAAGACTGAAATAGGGAGGCTGTGAAAGTATTACAGTTTAGAAGTGGTGTTGGCCTAAACTAGGATAGTGGTAGCAGAAATGTAGAGACTACATAAATAGATTTGGAAACTATTCTGGAGGTAAAAATGATGGGACTTAGTGATTGCATGGAGGAGTAAAGGAGAGAGAAGAATCAGGGGCGTATCTTAGGCTTCTGCTTTGACTAGGGTCATTCACTAGGTAAAGTAAAAAGAAGGATAAACAGGTTGGAAGGAAGATGCCTTCAGTTGTGGAGAAGTTGAAGTTTGATGTGTTTCTGGGATACTTGGGTAGAGCTGTCTAATAAACAGTTGAATGCCTGGGCCTGGAGAAATAACCTGTCTTGAGGTACCAATTTGGGAGTCATAAACAAAGAGATGATAACTGAAGCCATACAAGTGAATGAGATAATTGAAGGAAAGAGCATAAAGAGAGAAGACAAGAACTCAGGCCAAAGCCCTGAAGTGCACCAACATTAAGGGTTAGACAAAGAGGAGCCTGGAAAGTAAAAGGGAATTACCAAGAACATAGGAGAAAAACAAGAAGAGTACAGTGTCATGGAAGTGGTTTAAGGGGGAGGGACTGGTCACCAGTGCCAGATGTTACCAAGAAGTGTAGTGATTCTACTGCATTTAGTGACATAAACCATGGCAGACTTTAATGAGAAAGCAGTTATTTTATTTTTTTGAAACAGAGTTTCATTTTGTCATCCTTGGTAGAGTGGTTTCACAGAGGTTTCTGTGACCTGTGGTGTCACAACTCACAGAAACCTCAAACCCTTGAGTTTAAGGGGTTCTCTTGCCTCAGTCTCCCGAGTAGCTGGGACTATAGGCACTTGTCATAAAGCCTGGCTATTTTTTTAAGATGGGGTGTTGCTCTTGCTCAGGCTGGTCTGAAACTTGTGATTTGATTTACAGGTAATCCACCAGCCTTGGCCTCCCAAGTGCTAGGATTATAGGCGTGAGCCACCACGCCCGGCCAATAGAGCAGTCTCAAGTAATGAGTGGAGATAGATTGTAATGGGCAAAAAGATAAGTGGGAAGTGGGAAAATGAAGACAGTTGAGTATAGGCAATTCTTTTGAGGAGTTTATAGAAGAAGAATTCTTCGTTAATTGTATGTTTTTATTTTTATTTTTATTTTTTTTTTTT